CGGCGTGTGGCACCGCTATCAAGTCAGTACGCATATCCATGAGTGTGCACACCTTGGGCTCAAAGGATGCTTTTGGACTTGTAAACAAGAAGGGGCCAGGACTCCTGGTGTGCATCCCCAACGAAGACAACGCACCGTGGAGGTGAAAACATATTTGTTTTGATTCAACTGTTGATTGGTTGCTGTGGTCTCGTGGTTTGTTTCATGATGGTTCAGGTACCTTAAGCTGATTCTTTCTATCTCGTTGAGTGTCCGGAATTCTAAGCGAAGTTCAATCTTCAACCTGTTTTCTGCGTTGTTTCGGCAGCAATTTTGTAGCTTTAGGTCACCCTGTTTAGTCAGGTACTTTGTTCACTCAGGTTTCCTCGGTGGCCGTTGCTTTTCGTACACCAATCTGGAGTGTGTATGTGTGTGTGTGTCTGTGTGGAAGATTTTTAAAGAACATGGGAACTTCATGACCAGATGGCCACAAGATGTCACAAACAACAAGTTCTGTGACAGGCACGAAGTGCACCTGCTTTTTGACCTGGACCCACCGAGCAATATGGCTTTGCTGCTGGTTCTGATCCAACCCAAGCTTGCCTCAGGCATGTTGGAACTCATCGAGGGCTGTCAGCGTGTCTTGATGGCTCAGCCATCCCTCACAGAGGCTCAGTGTACAGTTGTGAGTGTGTTTCTCCAAGGGCTCGAAGGGATGTGACATTGGTCAGATCGGTGGTGTAGCCTCTAGTGACTCTTGTTCATATTTCCCACAACCCAGCCGAGTTTTTGAGAAGAAGGTGTTCCACCAACAAGACACCCAGAACGGACGGAGACGCAGATAGAAAGATTCAGAGATAGAGCAACTGCGCGGCTGAAAGTCGCTCGCCTTTGCACATCCCTGAATATAATCTTTCAAATTTGCACCTGGTCCGGTCGATCTTGCTTAGTTCAAGCAAGAAAACACGGTATGTAAATAAGAGTAAACAATGGTTTTGGGGCATAGACATAGAGGCTCATTAGTCTTGGTGAGGTTGTTGCAAATAGGTTGTAAAGGACAATGCAAACATCACTACTGTAGGCATGCAGGGATTTTGGCTTCGGAGTGGGGGCTTTGCAGAGAGTTTTCAAATTCCGTGTGAATAAGAGAGCAAACCAAAGACACCCTCAGCCTAAAAGGCATTTATATAACTCCTATGACACAAACTTCTTTCCAGGCCAGACTGGGCTGCCGTCAGGTCGAGGTCCCTTGCAAGATTTATGGAGATATCCACGGTCAACTGCGTGATTTGCTCCTTTTGTCGCCACCTCAGAATCGGTTTCTAGAGTCAGAGTGTGAATGGCTAGCTGCTGCGGCTAGCCATTTGCAAAGTGGGTTGATGAGAAAAAAGCCAGTTCATCCCAGAGGTCAGAGAGGGAACCCAGCCTTGTTGGTGGACGCCCCAAGTTTGGTTGAACCATCACCGCCGGCAATTCACGAGAGATGCAGATGATGCAGGGTGTTGCACTACACTACAGCCCTTTCTGAACTGTATGCCGTGGATGCTTGCACAAACCATAAATCTTTGAGGCCTCTCTCACAGCGGTCATACGGTGGATCAGACCCCACAGTCCCCTGTGTGTCATTTTAGAGCAATTACTATCAATTAACACTATGTATTTCATTGGGTATGTGCCCAGTATGCTAGATCTTGCCATGGGCGAGAAGGCAAGCCCTTCCACTCCGATTGGCAAAAACCTGCAAGGTTCCACTCCTTTGGATTGTCGGGAGGCCTACGCAGGGCTTTACATTGTGAGGCCTACGCAAGAAGAGTGACAACCTGATGTCCTTTGTGTCTAGAGTCTAGATTGGTAGCCGGAAACGTTTGAATGTTCGTAATTAGACTGTCCGGTTCTTGCATCGGTTGGCAAAACCGATTTGCCGTTCGCCAAAAGACATAATTTGTACCAGAAAGCAAAAAAAATGCCTTTGACTAAAACAAAACTTGCACTCGCTCTCATGGAACAATTAGCTTAGATTCTCACTTTGTGTTGCTGGCATCCCAGCATTAATTCACATGTTGACTATGGACTATGGCAGTGTATTATACCGGTCATGCCCTCCACATGTGGTATCCTGCATGTTTGTGTGACATATGCTTCCTTTGTAGCGTACCATCCCTACAGTACCCTAGGAAGGGCTGGCAGGGGCGTGACGTGGACATATCCGCAAGTTTGTGTGGTAGTCTAAACGCTTTCGTTATCGTGTCACAAGTCATTGTGCAGTCGTTTGCGTTAATTCTCAGTTACGATTGAATTGTTTGGGTGACTTCCAGTCGTCGTGAGCGACCGATGTGCTGAAGACCAGAACGGTACCAAAATGCTGCGACACCTGGTTGATCTATGCTCTGATTTATTTTACTTGATTTCCTAGCAGCGTAGCAGCCCGTATTCGCTGCATTTCCTCGACTTTCTGCAGCTGTGCATGTCCATATTCAACATTGCCGCATGAAACAAAGGGGGGGGGTCCGCGTCAAAGGAGAGTTCATTGCCACAAGTATGCTAGTGGCTACCAACAAGGTAATCTGTATGAGTCTATATTAAATATACCTAGTATATATATATATATGCAGGGATCTTATGCAGTGCGAAATGGTACCTAAAGGTCCCTCTATCATATATATATATATAACATGACCTTGCGTTGCCAATCACCACCGGGCACCGGGCCACCGGCCCATTGTGAGTTATGCTGTTTGTGTTGTCTCCAAACAGGCTACGGCTACGGGGCCTTAATGTATCCAACAGTGATTTTGTGATTTCTCAGAGTGCTACTGGGACGCTGCTAGGAGCAAAGGGCATCGCTACTAGGAGCAACGCCGCTACTAGGGGCTCCTGGCCTTACTACTAGGAGCAATGTTTGCTATTAGAAACAATAAGCTACTAGTGGCCTCGCTACTAGGAGCAAGAAGCTATTAGGAACAATGTTTGCTATTAGCAACAAAACCTTGATTTTTGGGATCAACTTCATTGCCAAGGCCTGGAACACCGGATTGCCCCCGGTGTGTTTTCAACGGAGACTTTGTGGATCGTGGCAGGCGAGTCTCTTTTGGAGCTTCAGAGGTTGGAGGAAGTTAACAGGCGGCTCAACCAAACATTCCTCAGGTTCCTTTGAGCTGGTTTAATCTCTTTGTAGGGAAATGTTCAGGGTTTGCTGGAAGATGGAGTAGCCTCCAAACTCTCCGCAGGATCATGTGGCCTGTTCTCTCCCCTTCCAGTGCTCATAGTGAACATGCAGATTCGTCCAGTCCAATTTTGTCAAACATGAAGTGAGTGTCAAGCTTTTATCATGGTCGGAAGATCACGCATTTGTGGATTCCATTCTGCTCATCCCGGCGGCCCTTTGCAAGGCACCAGGCAGAGACCATTGTGGTGCTCTTCGCCCTCAAGGCCCTTGGGCGGACGCAAGCGAGCAACGTTGCAGTAGACACATGGAACATCATTGAGCCCAACAATCAGCTCATGATTCCAGACAATACTCCAGCTTCTAGGTACTGATGCAAACACTGATAATTAGACCATCATTCCTCCGAAATGGCGTGATGCCTGCTTAATTTTCCTCTATACCCACCGCCCTCCTCAATCATTACTGGAGGGGTGAAGCTCACGACGTGTAAAAACAATTGATGATGCTGCAGGTGATGTTTCCCATGAACATCTACCTGAATAGAGGTAACCATGAGGAGCCTGAGATGTGGAAGTGGAGTAGCTGTGGATATCGAGGTATTTAACGGTATTTATATCATAGCTAGCTTTGAAGCATGTTTTAAATAAAAGGAATATAATTTTGCAAAGCTGAAGCTGATGTGGTTCCTGTGAAGCCCAACCAACCAGTTTTGAACCTTTGGGCCAAAGCCGTTGATATGATGATTGCCATAAGCAAAACAAAGATTTGAGGAAGACATACCAGGCAGAATCGATCCAATCAATCCAGGACACCACAATGAACCACAAGTACGGCTTCCAGAAGGCCTGGGTCCAGATCCTGCGGATGAGGAAAGGGATCTCGCTGACAAAAACCGCACGAGAGCCAGACATTTCGACCTCGCAACTTTCACCCGAGCACAGGCAATGTCGTGAAATTGACTTGTTGGGAGAGGATTCAATCCCAAAAAGCGTTTGCTGCCAGGTGGTGCAAGAAGCTTTTGGGGAGCTTGGGCCACAGGTCTACCAGGCCGGGACGGTTCTACCATGCCAAGCAGGGCTTGGACTCTCATGCATTGCTCCGTGTGACATTTGGAAGTCACTCGTGTCCAGTCCATTCCTCGCTATACCGCTACTCCTCGGACGCGAGGGGATGCTTGTTTTTTGTGTCCGCTTTGTATTTCATTGCAGGGCAGCAGTGTGGCCAACCGTAGCATGTTCCAAATGTTCGGAAGTAGCTGTCCCAGAGTGTTTTAAGGATATTTTTGAGGATGTTATTGTAGCCAGGGCCAGGCCAAGTTAAATTTCTCAGGATCGTCCTAATGATTTGGACTCCCATACAACTACCCAAAACATGCGCGCGACCACCTGCTTTCCCCATTGGAGGAGCACTTCCATAAGTCATGTCCAACAGGAATTTAAAGGGTTTCGTAAAAGGCTCCCTAGGCACAAACAACAATTCCTTCGGGCAAGCCTGCTCTGCCGTGCCAACCAGCTGTGGAATCAACGGTGGGTGGGTGGGTGGGTGGGTGTTGACATTTGTTGTGTGGTTGCAACAAAAGCTCTGGTTGCTTCAATGATTGAGCTGTGGCTCCTGCAGCTTCACACATCTACAAGCCAAACTCGATCCTGGTGCACATTCTCAGACTCAACTCAAAACAGTTCTTCTGGAGGCCATGGCGTGCTAAAGACGAGCTCGCTTTGGTCAGCTGTGTGGAATGAACAATTGGGTTGCAATCCCACGCATTTCTTGTCTGAAGGATGACATGGACTGACCGATGCAGTGAAAGACAGGGACATGCAGACAGCAAGTGCGTTTAGATTACAATAAAACCATATGAAGACTAATCTTTTCTGGCCGCAGTAACGCCCCAGTAGCACCATGGGCCCACGTTTACCTGGAATTGGCAGGTTGCTTTTGACTTTATACGTGATGTTTCGGGCTAGGATCCACACATAATAGGCTTCTAGAAGCGGTATCAGAGTGAAATCGCCTTAAACTACTGATGTTCTTTTCAGTTTTGGTCTTTGTTTGACACATGGTTGAATCAAGTTAAAATGATATTACAATTCGTACAGGTTTGGGAGAAGTGAAGCTATGCCGGCAAGTCCAAGTGATTGCCCCTATTCTGTATGCTATTTGTAGTGGTGAATTTGAGGCGGGGTAAATGAGAGACCACCTGCAGGCCATCTCCACATGTTTCCAATGCCTTCCATTTGCCAGACACTCAGAACAGCCGGACAGCATGTGCCAAGTCTGTATTTGTAGTGCTACTTGTGATATACACATCACTTGTTTGACCTTACTTTCATGCTGTGAGACTTGAAGGCGTGTTTAGAGAGCACAGGGTTCGAACTTGCTCTTGAAGATATTTGCCGGTTTGGCAGACCAGTGGGGTATATTCACTTCAAATGTCCTCTTACCAAAGCTCTCCCGCGGCCGCCCTCCAAAAAGTAAATGTTGTCACGTTGAAATGTGTTTCTTTGGAGTGATGGGTCTCACTTACAAGAGTGCAGCTCAAGGCCTTGGGTCTGGCATTTCAATCATTTGACGCTGCCCCTACATCCAAGTAGTGATAGGACAAGGACCAAAATCACTACCACCACTTTCTCTAATGTTTAATGTTAATGTCGCTTTTCAACTGTAGTGTGAGTCAACGGTGGTAGCCTGGCAAACCCACTTCGCTGATCAGGCCTGCCTGGTGGGTGGACGGGTCCTGGCTTTGCCTGTGCCCCAGATCTCCGGACGTACTACTAGTAGCAAGAAGCTACTAGGAACAAGAAGCTACTAGGGGCTCCTGGCATCGCTACTAGGAGCAAAGGGCATCGCTACTAGGAGCATGGACGCTACTAGGGGCTCCATGTCACCGGAGCAGACTGAACCGAAGGTACTGTGCGCAGCCGCTGTGAAGGAAATGTGTTACTAGCGATGGCATCCAACCTACTAGCGACGGCCTCCTCGAGCGCTTTGTTGTTTGTGTTAAATATGATGAATCATTTCCAGGCACGGAGGAATTGGGGATGGCAAGTGGTTAGAGCCTGAGAAGCTTCAATCCAGACACTTTGATCCTAATTTGTCAAAATTGCCAGGGTTCGGATTCCTTGAAACAAATTGTCATATTGTATTGGACAATGGGTTTGGTCTAAGCTTCTTAACATTTGGATACAGAAACCTGTTGGTGGAAGAAAGAACCAGAAGGTCGCCTCACCTGGCATCAGATGTTAGTGGGATCTTCACAAAGGCATCGCTACAAGCAACAGTGGTGTGTCAGGATGTTCTCCACACATTGGGACTTGGTCGTGCCAAGCGCCCGAGGCGATTGGACGATCTGCGAAGAGTACGTCGTCCTGTCAATCATGAACAATTGCAGGCTCCTGCGCAGGGTTGATCTTCATTCATGCATATATATATATATAGATTATATATACACAATATTGCTTTTTCTGCGGGACAAAGATGAAATTCGGCATATGATGATACGATGGCTTGACTTGGTAGGTCAGGTTTGACCGGAACATCAGATGCAGTGCTTGGAACATCTTCTACAACACCGCCGATCAGTAAAGGTTGTTCCTCCAGGTCAATGTCCAGACAAGCTTAGAATGGAAGGTTGTGGGCAGCAAGTTTATGTTGACAGTTAAATTCAAACTCACCGTGAAGCTGAAGCTGAAGCAGAGTTGTTTGGCTGTAATTACCCTTCAGAATGGCCAGTACATTGGTTGTTAGTCTGGAGACTCCTTCTACTAGAAGCTTCTCCGCTTGGAAGTATTGGAGGCCAAGTTGAAGAGTCAAGTCAAAGCAACTGAATCAATCTATAACTATAATTGAACTGCTGGGCTTGTTTGGTTCGCTTGACAGGGTCCTTTCGAATGCACTTTTGTGCCGCGCCTTTGAGCAGGCTCCTGAAAACCGCTTGCTGTGGAATATCCTTTGGTATCCTGGCAGGGATGTTCAAGTCGGTTGTCATTGCAAGCCACGGAAGTGTTTTTTAGCCTTAAGCGAAGATCGGCATCAAGTCACCTTCGGGAACTCGCCGCACATGAACCTTTCATTCGCCAAACAGTAAACCTGTTGGTTGGGGTTCTCAACGACTTTGTTTGTTCACTCACTTGTGAGCTCGTTCCCCAGGTCGGACCCCATCGAAGATGACTGCGTCTCCAACTGCGTCTTTGGCGTGTGGGGCCAGCTCAGACCACTCAGCCAAGTTGGCAAGGCTGGTGAGGGCTTTCGAGATCGTCCCAGATTGAATCGTGGCGAAGGTCTTGATTCAAAGTCCTGCCTCGTTGGGTACAATGATTATAATGTAATGGATTATCATGCCTTCCCGTGGAGCAATCTTAAGTCACAGCTACCAGTAATTGCAACAGGAAACTTTAGCGTCCAGGACAGCAGATTCAGATATGTATATATTGCGTGTGGATTCGTCCCCAAAGGCCAACAGATTTTCAAGCATGTTCACAGATGAACTTTCCTCCTCAGACGATGGAAGAAATCACTCCACCATGAAATTGAGTTTTTCCAGCCAATGAATTCTGCAAAGAGTCAAGCATTGAAACTGAAACCTATTTAATTCAATCATGGAACCCTGCTAATGGTAAGCCTACATCAAACTGCCCCCACCCAGGCCAATTGCAAAGATTAAGTGAACACTTCATCTTCAGCTTTCAATACCTCAAACATTTTCAAAGTATCGAGTTTTACACATTAAGCATTATAAGTTTTCTTCATATTGTTTGTACATGTTCTTTTGCTCAGAGTTCCACATCATTTGAGTTCCAAGGCACGACTCCCAGCGGAGTAAAATGGCCGTGCGCTTCGGCTGGATGGCCCAGCAGATTTGAGAATTATCAACTTTTATCTTTTCCTGTATATACGTTTTCCCAGATAGCAAGAGGTTTTTGGGTTTCTTACTTCAAGTATTTCAAGTATAGGAAGAGGTGCCTGCGTGTGCTTTGAAGATGCCGCTGAAGGGTGCCGCTGCCAGATGTGTATGGCCGGATGCTGGTGCTGCTGCAAGACCCTGCGCACAGGGGGTCTATGCTGGCGTAAATTTAGTGGACCTAGCTAGTAGCGGGGGTCTGATGGGTGGCCTGATTGCATGTGGCCTATGGCATGGCTGGCATTGATTCGGTCTGCCAGCATGTGGCTGTCAGTATTAACTTTGATCTGGTTTGCTACCGAAGCCCCGGACACTTAGAGAAAGGTGAGCACGGCAATTCCTTTGTCCAGAGCACATCCCTCAGGTTGGAATGTCACGCAGGAGCAGCAAAGCGAGACCGGGATCTTGTTTTAAGCCAGGTTTTGATCACCTTTTGCAACCGGGGTTTGTTCTAAATTCACAGTAGCTGATCCCTTTGTTTCATATGGAGGTCAAAGTGGCACGTCAAGAGGAACACTTGGAGCTGCACATACATGTAATTATCTGTATTTACATGATTGCATAGCTGAACAAACTCCGAGTCTTTTGGACACTTGTTGATCTTGTTATGTGACTGATCCGGTTTTGGCCAGTAATCACTCCAGGACTTTTGCGTGCGCAATGGCCTTGATCTTGTGGTGCGCAGCCATCAGCACGGGTGGCTCAGTGGTTTCGGAAGCGCGTAAGATCTGTGCCTTTGCCGTGTGGCCAAGATATAGAGGAAGGATGAAAAATGAAAATGCCCTAGCTGTTCAACTACCTGGCAGCCTGGCAGCCAGAACAACTTTCTACAGTGAGAGTTTCTGATTCGCTGCAAGGTAGCTCCAATAGATCAAGAGCAGGCACAAGAAAGGAGCGCAAAGATCGGGAACCACACGTAGCACACAATGCTTTTGTCACCGCCGGTACGTGGGCACGTAGTGCATGATACCCAGGTTTCTTGTTACGACCTTTTAAGCGGTTTGGTTTGGCAAGTTGAGAAGAAACATTGAATAAACCATTCTACAATTGTTCCTGAAACCTTCAACCCACGAACCAACTTATATCAACTTATCCCTCTCCCCATTCCTCCCTCGGTCTCTCTCGCTCCGGTTCAAGGTCCAAAAGGTGGGGCCTAGGCGGGGTTTGCACACATCTCTGCTGAGTTTCAAGCTACTGGGAGCTGGGAGCTACAGTACATTGCGTAGACTGCAACTTCTTGAGTCTTGAGAACCTCCATGCTGGTAAGCCAAGTGAATCAGAGGCCACGTTCCTCGTCCACACGTTTGATGTTCAAAGTGCACAGCGAATCTACCGTCCAGGCTTCGATGTCATGCACAATGAATCCTTGGTGCGTGGCATGGCTTCAACCGGGTGGCCCATTCTGCCCAGTGTAGGTGTTGACTTGTTATGATAAGAATTGGCTGTTGGCTCATGATGCCACCTTGACTTGTTCGGCAAATGTGTGAGGCTGACTGGAGCGTTTAATAATGCTCCAGCTTGGTTGAGGTGTGTTCTCTGCAAGAGATTATGAGAACAACGAGAACGACGGCCAGATTCCAAGCACTGTAGACTTGCCCTCAATGCAGGAGAATTTTCAAGCCAGCAGGGTGGGTGCAAGTTTGATGTGTACAGTTTGCCCTATATGCGTTTGGGATATGTGCCTTGTTCCAATCAATTGTGAGAATAGGCCTTTCTGTTTAGCATTCAACTTTGGACTTTGAACACATCCAGACACAGCATTAGAAGGACCAACCGCAACAATAGTTTGAGACATCCAAGTTGAAGTCTATGTTTTTCGGAAATTTTGACATGCACAGGACTGATAATGCTTTGACACGTCTTGACTAAACATTGCTGACCAAGGAAATACATGTCTAGCCAATGTTCTAGAAACACTCTTTCTAGTGTATAAGAAAGGAAACATGTCTTTCTAGTGTACGCGGATCGTTTCATTTCTTCATAAACCATCTCACTCGCAGGAAACATCGAGCTTTCTACAAGTACCTTTCCAGGAGATGCTTGAACAAATTGTTTTCAACAGGCTTGGTTCATGTACAGGTGCTGTGCTCCAAGTGCAGCAAGATGATGATGAAGGTCATCTAGGAGTTCGACCGCAGGTGCCCGGGGTTGTCGAAGACCCGAAAAGACGACAAGACGAAGGCTATCCAGAGCTCAATTTGTTCCAAGGGGAGACACCGCAGTTTGCTCAAGCTGTCAGCAATTCCGGTGGAATGGTAAGGTTGCATGTGACAGGCCAAGATGAGAGTACATGAATGCCGGATGCAGATTGGGTATGGTATTCAAATTGACAATGGTATGCAAGAAGCATTTGTAGGAGTTCTATCAAATCAGTGACGTATGTATCGTCAACCACATACTTCTGACTTCTGAGAAGAGCGAATACGATGCGAGATCTCGTCAAAAGTCCTGACACGCGGATACGAGGTCCGATGATATGCTTCGGAAAGCACCACACTACTAGTGGGGGGATCTCTACGTCCGCTCTGCAAATCTTTCAGCTATAAGTCAATGAGTCCACGTGGCCACCCATAGCGTGCTGAAGACTGGAAGTCCAACGTTTAGCCTTGAAGATTCGCAGAAGTGGCCAAAGAGACAAGCTGAGTCATTGCTGACCGCGCACAGCCTCCGTGTGAGAACTTTGGAGAAAAGCCACCTCAATCGGCAAGAATGAGCTGACTTACACAGAGTGAGGCTCATGCAGGAAGAATGTAAGATCCAACCATGATGCCCGGGCCAAGCAAACGAATAGAAAAGAATAGTGTCCTCTCACTATTGGCAAGGTCTTCTAAAAAGATCGAAGACAAGCTCCTTGTAACAGGTGCAAAGGCATGAAGTGAGCATGACATGGTCACGAAATGGTGAGCTGCATCGCAAGTTGCATCAACACACATTGTGCCCCTCATTTCTGCATAGCCCTTGTTGGAGGTGCAGCTGACATCCAAGCAACACAGGCAATTCAATCTGAGCATTCCTTTGCCACTTCCTGTTGATGCAATGTGTTCCTTTGCGCTGTTTTCCCTGGCACTGCTGCGCCTACTCCCGAACTTCGGAAAGGGTTCGCTGCAATGAGGTACTGCGAATGCTTGGGTAGTGTGTTTAATACGGCCATTGCAAAACCATGGACCACAAACTGTCCCATGAAAGGGGTAACCTCATTTAACCTCATTTCATCTCATTTTAGACAGGCTCAGCACTTTGCGTAGTTAGTTTTGACTAGCCACGTTTTACAACAGATATTGGCCAATCGGCTAGACATTGTTCAAGGGACAAACTATAGGAATCTATCGAGACAGAATCTAGGGATATACTGTATCGGGATTGTGAATCGATAGTAGGTTGGAGGCCATCTCCTTACTTTTCTTCACCTCGAGACTAGGTTCTTCCAGGAAGCTTTCCTTTTCTTCGCATGATTGGTTTCATATGGTTTCATGATTAGACCAATGTTTAGACCGATAATATTTAGACCGATGGACAACTGATTCTTCAGGTGCTGCGAGCCCTGGAAAACCGAGACGATGCTTAGCACAGGACTGAGGGCAAGGAGGCAAAGAAAACGAGTAATTAATGTGGAGTGGGGTAGCTTCAGACACTGTCATGCCTCAGTGTAGGTGAGTATAGTAGGCGCCCTCAAGGCCTCATTCAAAAGATCTTGGGACACCTGAAGGCAAAGACAGATCAATCACCAGGCATGTGCTGTGAGAGGCACTCCTCCCACCAGTTCTTGAAAGAAGAATCCGCGGAATCCTGTCTGAGCAGTAGTGAGGCTACTCATTAGTAGTGCATGGCAAGTGTTTCCAATGCGAGTTTTGGTGGCAACTGCAGCGGCAAACGCCGAGCAAGTTACCACGTCTCACACAGGCATGGCCGTTTGTTGACGTGTGATTTGTGCTTTGAGCACAAAGATTCTTCCAGTTTTTGGCGTCATGCGGCCTCCAGTGTCGACCATGCCTGAAAAAGGGGATTAGGACCAGTGCCCGAAGTGGCGCTCAAGCTGGCTGTGCGAGAGCTTTGGTTCTTTGAACTTCACGTTGCCTTTGATATAGGCTAGGCGGGAGTTGGGATGGGCGAACGAAGTGAGTATTAGGGGGTGTGGGGGTGGTGGTCGCACAGAGGCCAATTTGGGAGGGCGAACCCAGAGCCTGGTTTGGGAGAGCGAAAAAACTAGGGAGTGAACATGTATGGTTTTTGGGGTGTTGTGATGCAAGTGATGTAATTGACGGCGGATGGTGCATCATTAGCATCATGTGGGGCTCAGGAGGCAATGTAAACCGTCTTCTACCACGGATGGGAGTTCATGTCGATGATACGAAAGAGGCGACAGCGGGACGCGAAAAGTGCTTGGAACTTCTCCAGGATGTGCGTGTCTGGTGGGCATTGAAATAGTGTTCGACCAGGGTGATAGGGAGGTGTGTGTGTGTGTCTCTTAAGACACTGTGTGATCTGTGAGGGCAGGAGAGGCCACCATTGAGGCGGCAAGGAATTGCTTGGGGGTGCCCTTTTGTAACGGTGAAGAGGTGTAGTAGCCAGACTCAAAAGGGCCCAATATGGGGTGGGAGTTCATGTGGATGACACAGGCATAGCGGAGGAGGACGTGATAGGTGACCCATTGAGAACAGGGAGGGAACAGAATGCAGGTGCCCCTTTTTTATGCTGCTGACCAGACGCAAAAGGGTCATGCGCAGGATAGGCGTAGATAGGAAGAGAGGTGGGGAGGTCACCAGGGATGTCGGATTCACCCCCGATGACCATATTGATATCTTTTACGCTGGCTGGCTTTCGTCCCCTCCTTTCTCAGGAATATAAATACATACTTGTATATGTTTTTATACACACATGTGTTCTGGTGTGGGTCTAGAGGAGTAGGGTCTGGATTTACATAATACTAAAGCGTGTTCTTCCTGCCTTGGGCTCTCATACTTGTGATTCTTGATTTCCTATCCCACCCTTTTTTGTGTGTTCTTTTGGCAGCAGATCGGCCCCTCTCACATGCTCGTAGATTCAATGCAAATGTGGGACTATGTGGCTGTTAAAGTCACAGTTCTTAGAATCTCTTGTGCTCTCAAGTCATCCCAGCGCAATTTTTGCGTGCAAAGCACCAGAGATGTGACTGTACCGCATGCGAACTGTCCACTTGAGACAATGACCCTTCCATTGCAAGTGAAATGATTTTGGACCAGGCTGGCTTAAGTTTTGAAAGTCCCTATTGATAAAATGTTCAATTCAGATTCCCGACTTGAGCAATGAGCTGGAAGAGGTCTGTCTCTTCACGGCCACTCTTTTGCCAGATTTGTGGGCCTCAGCTTGTCACCCGGGCTTTGGCTGAGGAGTATTTTCGCTGTGAGTTTAGTCACACAGGGCACGCGGAGAGTTGGGACTTGCCAATGTCCTTGGTCGCGCAAACAAGGGGCTTCTCAAACAATGAAAATCAATGAATGAAGGGCAACATGGCTTTGCTCATGAAACAAGTCTTGTTTTTGAGTGTCAATGTCGTGACAGCGACTGTTGTGGGGACAGCAAATCCTGTGACAGTCGTGGATGAGTTAGCAGAAGCTGCGCTCCTGTCCATGGCTCCCGATGACCAGTGCGAACAAAAGTCCAAAGATTCGTAGCTTGCCAAGCCACTGGAGTCACCCGAGGAAACAAGGAACATTTCCAACCTACTAGCGATGGCCTCCAACCTACTCCAACCTAATGGGTATGAAGTCACTATGACTTCTTGTAACTTTGTAAATTGTAAACATGCACTGCACTGAGGACTGAAGCGCACTTTCGTTTGTTGAGCTGCGACCAAAGTCATCCACAACAAAATTAACATTGGCAGGTTTGGCTCTGAGGGAACGGCGTTTTCTATTTAGCACACAATTTTGATTTGTCATGGCATTCAAGGTGTTCCTGGGCACTCTAGCAGCTCTAGCATTGGTGCTTGGTGAACATGTTCCGGAAACCCTTGGAGATGAATGCGAAGGCGAATGCAGTTTAGAGATGCTACACCTTCGAGCCAGGAAGCTCTCCCAAGAGCGAGGCCGGGGTGCTTTTTCAGAGAAAGAGAGAGAGAGAGAGTCCTTCCACAACTGGTAGAAGTAGGTGTGTGTAAGACCTAGAAAGAAAGACACTATTAAACTATTTTACCTTTTTTTGCCAGCTGAGGTTCAAACGAAGAGGTTGCTCTCGACGAGACGGAAGACAACGAGTTGCAGGCAGACCAAGAGCACAGTGATGGAGTGTGCCTGAAGTA